CAAAAGCACGGAAATTTGCAGCAATGCTAGGGAACGAAACTTTCAAAGCTAGCAATGGTTGGTTAATGCGTTTTCGAGATCGTCATGGAATAACTTTCCAAGAAGTTCACGGAGAGAAAAAGTCAGCCCCGATAAACGACGCAAATGAATGGCGGCAAAACAAGATGAAAGAAATCTTAGAAAAGTATGCTCCAGAAGACATTTATAATGCAGATGAAGCTGGGCTGTTTTTCCAACTCCTACCCGATCGAACATTGGCATTCAAGGGTGAAAAGTGTTATGGAGGGAAGAAATCAAAGCAGAGACTGACTGTTCTTCTGTGTACAAATAGCACAGGAACGCATAGAATACAACCTCTCGTCATTGGTAAATCATTGAAGCCAAGGTGCTTTAAGAACGTGAAAAGTCTTCCCGTGGAGTATAAAGCAAATAAGAAGGCTTGGATGACGTCTAAATTTTTTTCCGAATGGTTACAGAAGTTAGACAATGAAATGAAGAAGAGAAAGAAAAAAATCGTTTTGTTGATAGATAACTGCGGTGCTCACACGTCATTTCCAAAGCTACAAAATATCGAAATCGCTTTTTTCCCTGCCAATTGCACTTCAATTTTACAGCCTCTTGATATGGGCATAATTAAGTGCTTCAAAGGATATTACAGAAAACGGTTGGTGGACTCCATACTTGTAAACTTTGAAAATAAAGTAGAAGACCCTTTCAAAGCTGTAAATGTCAAGGAAGCGTGTGACAATATTGCTGGAAGTTGGTGGGAAGTAACAGAAAAAACCATTCGGAATTGCTGGAAAAAGGCCGGTCTTTGTGTTATGGAAGATAAGAAATCTGATAATGATGAAAATTCCATAGACAATGATCTCTCAGATGATCAAGAATGTGTTTTGCACATCAAAAAATCCGTATCCCAACTTGAGGAAACAAGCGGTAAAAAAGTTTGGAATTAGTATAGAAGACTATTTAACAGCAGATGATGATCTTATGGTTTTCGCAGGAGTTACTGATGAAGATATTCTCTCTGAAATTACTGATGAGATAGGAAACAATGATGAAGATGATGATGATATTGATGATGATGATAATACAGGTCCATCGCAGTCCTTATTGTCATCCCAGGAAGCTCTTCAATCTGTGAATTCTCTACGGACATTTTTTTCAAGCCTTCCGTCGACAAATGAAGAACATTTTCGTGCACTAGACTCAATGCATACAGTATTGGTGAACTTAACAGTTAAAAAAATCAATAAACAAACAAAAATATTGGATTATTTTCAATAAAAAGTGTTTTCAGGTATGTGAATATTTCTGTGCTTATTTTCTGAATTTATCTTATTTATTTATTTTTTTAGTATTTAAACCACTATTATTAGTATTTTACAAATTAATTTCTTCTAAATATAGACTTAAAAGTAGTATGTTATGCACCTTAAACTAATAATAATAAAAAAAAACTCTTATTAAATGCTCAAAATATGTGGGCCCTCCATATAACAATATGCCTCTCTACAACAATATATTTATTTGGTCCCTAAAATATTGTTGTAAGGAGGTTTCACTGTATTAATAATTCTCATTCAAAAAATTCATAACATCACATATAGTAATTATTTCTAATTTACATTTTCTTTTTAATGCACCTTAAATTGATGTTTTTACTTAATTAATATTGAAAGATCTTGTCTGAAGTTATTAAATTTCCTAATAAAATATATTGCATTGCCTACAGATTTGGAGTATATCAAATTTATTTACAGTAAGACCCCGCTTAACGCTGTTTCGTTTAGCGCTGTTTCGGTTTAGCGCTCTTTTATTTCAACCCGGAGATCCTCCGAAATTGTGCGCAGCACTAGGTTTCCAAATAACATATCCGAAACAGTGTAGTTGTGTTTCTTGCTTTGTGGACGCATTTTTATCATTTGAAACATTTGTTGACATTATTGTACATTTAAATTTGTATAATACTATAACGATTAATACAGTGACAAATATTATGATCTTTAGTTTTTATCATGGGTGATAATAAAAAACAAGAAAAGAAAGCAACCAGAAAAAGCATTTCACTGGAAACTCAAATGCAAGTGATTAGAAGATTAGATTCTGGTGAACGTCAATCTCAAATTAGTGCTGCATTGATTTTGGCAACTTCAACAATAAGGACAATTCTTAAGAATAAAGAAAAAATACTGTCAATCGGAAACTGCAACTACGTCAAGCTCTGCAACTAGAATTACCCGTTCTAGAAATAACATTATAGAGGAAATGGAAAAAACGACTGTCTATATGGATTGACGACGAAATTGAAAAACAATATGCCATTAAGCCAATCTATCATAATGCCTTCTTGACAAAAAGGCAGAAAAATTGGAAGCCCAGAATAGACTGAATGAACTGACTGAGAATTTTATTTGTTTTTAAAAGTATATGCGTTTATATTGTTTTCATTTTTGTAAGAAATAAATGTTTTGATTTTATTTTTATTAAAAAAACATTATTAAATTAATGCCTAACCATTTTTATCTGTCTTCCCCTAACCCCATTATTTACATGTTAAGATAGCCTCGCTTAGCGCTGTTTCGCATTATGCTCTACTTCGATGGAACGTATCCCCCGCGTTAAGCGGTGTCTTACTGTACTTACTTTCTGCTATGAGAAAAATCTCATGCATTGCTCTCTATCCAAAGGGAATTAAAAAGTTAAAATAACTCTACATGTAACTGATCGCATTTTCTTAAGTTACATGTTCCATGAGCAAAAATATATTTACGGGTATTCCTTGGCGAAAATTGGCAATTTTTGGCGGTACATGGATACTGAGTTTGTGCAATTCTTTAACTTGTTATTTTGGCTTGCGTAGTGCCAAATAGCCGCCAACAAAGTCAAAATAGCAAGACAAAGAATTGCACAAATTGTACACATCAACCTATTTTCACTTTATAGACATTGCGCACTCCCTTGACTTTGTCCATGTACACAACAAACTATGTTCACTTAAAAAGTCAAAGGAGCAACCAACAAAAAAAAATATATAATCTCAATAAACTACATTTTAAATCAAACAATGAAATAAAATAAGAAAGGAAATTTATCTTTGCGCTACAAAAAGGAAATATCCGCTTAGATTATTTACAAATTAACACGCCTTCAGTCAAACAAAAAAAGCATCCAAAAACTTCCTAAAATTATCTGAACTAGAAACTGTATACTGGCGTCGCCACATAAATTCACAAAATTCAAAAATATCTTCTGTAGTGCCGTTATCGTCTGACCATATGTATTTCCTTCCTACAAACAGGACACTTAATTATGGCTACTACGCAAACTTTCATTTACACACCAGTCAAGTAATGCTCTTTTCCCCTTTCTTTCCAAATCATACAAAAACTTCAAATTAATCTTAACACATTCAGCCATTTTACCATCTAAACCACAAAACGAGCAATATATTTCCTTACCAACACACACCATAAGCCCTTACGAATTTACCACAATCATGCAACTGTCAATCATCAATGTCATATCAGGTTGTACGGAAAATAATGCAGGTTCTTCTTTCCTGTACATTTTTAGAAACAAAATTATTTTGAATTATATTGGTTTATATATCATTTTGAAGCTCTATTTTCGCTATATATTTCTATAGTAATCATTTTGTTCTAAAATTATTTTTTAAAATATTTACTAGTGTTTTTCTTTACATGTCAAAATGGGATTTTCTGCAAATTTACTTTTATGAGTACAAGCTAGGCAACAGCACAGCACAAACTGCTCGAAATGTCAACGAAGTATGGCGTGAGAAAAATGTTAATGAATCTACAGTTCAACGATGATACCAGAAGTTTCGTCATGGAGAATTTAACCTGGAAGATCAAGAGCATCGTGGACGCTTTTCAGCTGTTGATGACGATGATTTGAAGACTTTAGCTGAAACAAACCCGTGCATAACTGTTCAAGAGCTTGCCGTAAGCAAAACAACGATTTCTGATCACTTGAATCGTATAGGAAAGTCACAGAAGCTTGATAAGTGGGTGCCTCACGAATTGAGCGAAAATAAAAGAAAATCGCCGTTTTGAAGTGTCTTCTGCTCTTCTTCTCGAGGGCGGTCTCGCCTACTACAGCTTCCTAAATCTGGACGAAACGATTACGGCAGATAAGTACTGTCAACAAATCAATGAGCCAAAAATTGCAATGCATATGCTCAGCATTGGTCAGCAGAAAGTGGCCAGTTCTTATCCACAACGATGCACTGCAGCATCTTTGTAGATACGACACTCTCCCTCTTCCCACATATTTACATGACCTCTTGCGGACCGATTACCACTTTTTCAAACATCTGTATAACATTCTGCAGAAGAAATGCTTCAGAAACCAAGATGAGGTCAAAAACGCCTTTGACAACTTTATCGCATCCAGAACTCCAGAATTTTATTCTACCGGCATAAATAAACTTATATCTCATTGGCAAAAATACATAGATTCAGCTGGTGCTTATTTTGATTAATAAAATTGTTTTTGAGTTGAGTTATGCTACTTTAAAGATATAGGTTAAAAACCTGCATTTTTTTCCGGACAACCTAATAATAGGGTTTCCATAACATTCAACTACTCAGGCTACCATAAATGAAACAACAATTTAGCGACAAATGAAACAACAACTTCGTGATAATACAAAGGGTACCCTTCTTCTCTACTCTAACTGTTCCATGTAAATCCCCAAGGTGAACCAATTAATTTTATATTTGAATACTTCAAAAAATAATGCAATTAAAGCCTGAAACTCTATGCAAGGCTAGAATAAAATCATTTTATTTCAATAAATTTAAAACAGTTAATTACTTCATAGAATGCAAAATTTTGAACTAGTTTAACAAATCTAAAGACAAAAGATTTTGCATTATTAACTCTTGCGAAGAACATATTAACAAACTTTAAAAATGGGCAATAAGGTGAAAAATTATTAAACATACAATAATGAAATAATTTTAAATACATACAATTTAAAGAATGTTGTGCCTAGCTGTAAAAGTAAAACGTGAGGCAATCCATGCTCATGAACTAGAAGCACACCTTCAGCAGAACGTCGCATGCCAATTTTCTCAAACTCTTCTCGCATACGTCGAAATCTTGCTGGGACCGAACTATCACGTTCATAAAGAGGCTCTTTAGTACCAAATGTGTAATTAGTAAGAGGATACCTAGGAAAATTCATTTACTGCATAAATCATTTGCATAATTACATGAAAATGAAAATTATATAAAGCATGCCAATAAAATAAGCACAGCATATAAGAAAATTTGACTGAAATGTTTCTTATTCTTGCAGTTCTTTGTGCTGTATGTAGCAACTTTTTAATTAATAATTCAATATTATGTAGAAATGCTACACGAACATAGCAAACTTAAAGAAAAGTACTATGCTTAAAAGTTATAAATTTACAGAAAACAAACCATGACAATCTACATAACCATAGATTTCTGTAGTAAGAAACTGGTGCATATTCAAAATTCGGAATAAGAGCACATATGATAATATAATATATATGTTGCAATTGGTACTATTTTCACAGGAACATTTTATTCTGTGAAAGCAGAAATGAAAAGATAAAAAAGCTGAAATAAATGCTAATTTGGCCACATTATACAATACAATCAAATTATAAAAAATTCATGAATAAAATGAAAATAATGCAAAATGGAAAAAAAATAGTCTCTAAAACAAACATGACAAACTTTCACATTCTCGCTTAATATCCAATGCAAAGATATTTGGATCTATTCACTTGATGCATGCTTATTAGTATGACATTGTTGGCAGTGCCTTATATGCCAAGTTAGAGGAAAAAGAACATAGTACATAATACCTTTGTAAACCATTGTAGGATTGGGCGCTGCCCATTGTTTTTAAATGCATCACTGGCAGTCAGATGATGAGTGACACAAAAAAAGTGCATCAAATGATGAATATTATTGAAGATTCTTGGCATTGTCACATTTATTATGAAAAATGCAGTTGTTTCAAAATAAAATATTTCAAGCTATCAGCAAGTAAATTTAAAAAATAACTTTGAAAAATTGCTTGTGTAAAATTAATGTTTTAAATGTATTATTTAGTAATGAATCCATTAATCTATTATATGTACAGTAACACTAATTATTAAACATAATTTTGAGAATATTGACAAGCAAAGCACTTAACTGAAAAAGACACTTTTTACTAAAAATATTAGTATTCTGCATGAATGACAGCGAATATATGTAATGAATACCATGGCCAAATACCTATATAAAGAAGGAAAAAAAAAAGTATTGGTTAATCTTTGGACTATGGTAACTTGGCGATTTTTTGGCGAAAATTCGGCAACCAACCCTGCTACAGCAACCTGCTAGTTTTTGTTTGGACACCATTTCATTTTCACGAAGTAAAGGCATTTTTTTTTTAACTAATTATTTTTCCCCAACAATCTGCTAGCCAAATTACGCTTATGCTAGAACTTTTATGGAACAAAAGTGCTTAATCATGATGAAGATTAGATGCGAAATTGGGAGAAAGTGCAGAATCACCCACAGCTTGCCACGTTTTTAAGAATTGCACATACACGGTATCATCCATGTACACGTCGACCTATTTTCACTTAAAAAAACATCCCAGAATTGCACAAAAATGGCATTGCACACACTCTTGACTTTATCCATGTACACTGCTAAAGTTCTAGCTAGTAACCTTTATTGCCTTACCAAAATGTCGCCAAACTACCTGTGACCATATTCCAAAGATTAGCCTAAAAAAAATATTGCACAAAAATGGCATTGCGCACATTCTTGACTTTATCCATGTACACTGCTAAAGTCCTAGCTAGTAACCTTTATCCCCTTACTAAAATGTCGCCAAACTACCTGTTACCATATTCCAAAGATTAGCCGGAAAATCAGGCCTGATGAAATTAAACATGACAACATCATTTTCTTCTGAATGATGCAGCCATACATATGAAAACGACAGATGACACACTTCTCAAAATGTTGTATCTGAAATGAGTTGTAAATGCTTTCCGTGTAAAGTTCATGAATTTTTGCCATACGTTGACAAACCTATTTGTATTCTAAGAAAGATCTTTTTAAATTTCTGTTATTGAGAGTTTTTGGAGACACTGCAGCTGATATATTAGTTTTGGCAATGTGGGTAACATGGTCAAGTGAGATTGTTATTATGCTAAGCAGTAATAACTTAAGGGGGCCTGAATACTGAAGATTCAAACTTGGGTCAAGCTACCAGTATTCAGCAATTGTATTGCTCAACTGCTTGTGAACTTGAACAAAAGTATGAATATTTTGTTAGTGAAACCCATGACGTAAGAAAATCGGTAAAATTTATAATGTTTTCAAAATTAAAACATGGTCGATTTTGTTATGAATCCTATGGTTCTGACATGTTTTAAATATACTCCTGCCATACAGATAGAAGCTGAATGATCATTGTTCTGCTTACAACAGGTATAACATGTCAATGTAGAATCTGAAGGAAAGTTTAGGTTATTCGAATATAGCAAAGAATAATGGCTATCGACCTAAGAAGAATGCCTTTTTGAACAACTTTCTAAGGGAAACTGGCTTGCATTTGCATTACATATGAGGAAAACTAGAAAAATCCACCATGCAGCCAGCCCTTTAACCATGATATGAAACCAGATCAAACTACCAGTATTCAATGGTCTTAACCAGTTGTAGGAAAAATCTGAAGAAAATGCTTGCAATATCATGCAATCAGAAATTAACTATGTGTGTTTTTTTTTTTTTGACGCCATTTTGTTTTCACAAAGTAAAGGCATTTTTTTTTTTTTTTTTTTTTTTTCTTTTCCTCAACATTTTTTTCCAACAATCTGCTAGCTGAATTACGCTTATGCTAGAACTTTTATGGAATAAAAATGCTTGGCTAATCTTTGGAATATGGTAACAGGTAGTTTGGCAACATTTGGGTAAGGCGATAAAGGTTACTAGCTAGGACTTTAGCAGCATACATGGATAAAGTCAAGAGTGTGCACAATGCCATTTTTGTGCAATTCTGGGATGTTTTTTTAAGTGAAAATAGGTCGACGTGAACATGAATATCGTGTATGTGCAATTCTTAACAACGTGGCAAGCAGTTTTGCGATTCTGCACTTTCTCCCAATTTCACACCTAATCTTCGTCATGATTAAGCACTTTTGTTACTATAATTCAAAGATTAATGAAAGATATTTATAGTGGTTGATTTTAGAATCTTCTATACTTTCAACATGAATATTTTCTCAGGTCAGCAGCCAGATGGGCTATACAAGAAAGTCAATAGTTCTAGTGAAAAAGCAAAGCACATACTAGCTCCACTATACAATTCTGGAAGAAACGTTGCCACAGATAGTTGGTATACCAGTTATGAATTGGCCAATTTCTTACAGCAAAATTAAATTTCTATCATTAAAACAATATGCAAGGATAAGAAGATTAGGCTGATCTTTGGAACATGGTAACAGGTAGCTTGGCGACATTTTGGAGGCGATAAAGGTTACTACCTAGGAGTTTGGTAATAATGTGAGAAGTACTCAGTTCCGATTGCGCATTATTTTGTGTGAGGGAAATGAGAGATCATGAGATATGTCATGTGACATTAATGGACGAATTACAGTTCTTTAATCAGAAAAGGGGGTAATTTTGGAAAAATTATTTTGTATTAAGTTTCATTGTGTGTTGTGTTAAATAGTGTTGATTAATTTTCGGATTGCATGGCGCTATGTAAAGTGAATTCTAAATTTTTAATGTGTTTATGTGATAATAATAATAAGTTGAGATTGTGTGAAAGGAAGGTGTGTTGGTGTATTTAATTATGGCAAAGCACATGAGGGCTATCTGCCTAAGGGGACGGATGCCTTCGTGGAGGACTTTCTAAGGGAAACTGGCTCGTATACACATTACACATGGGGAAAACCACGAAAACGCCCATGCAGCCAGCCCGTTCGCGGGATTCGAACCTCGGACCGAACTACCAGTGTTCAGCGACTTTACCACTCGGCCCCTGGTTGGGCCGTGTGAAAGGAAGGATATTACAGATAAGTTTGAATGTCGGTGCAAGAAATCTGGTGAAAATGGACATTTTGTGAAACGGAGTGTAAGGAAGGGTACGTGGTTTGCTGAAAGTAGTTTGAGTATGGGTGAAATTTTATTAATTTCTTATTACTTGGTGAATAGACTGACAGTTGACTACTGGATTTCGGATTTAGAAATTAGCAGTAGTACTGCAGCCGATTGGAACTCTTTCTGTAGGGAAGTGTGCATGCCACGTAATGAAGATTCTGAAGAAGATTAGGTAAGTTAGTATTTTTAATCATTTGAGGATATTATTTTTATGCATTGTTCTAAATGTAAGGAGTAAATAAATTAATATGGTATTATTGGAAAATTGTTATTAGCAATGATTTAGTTTAAAGTAATTAGGATTGTAATCTAATTTTTATTAATTTAATGTATGTGCTTATTTATATTTTAAGTAGTGCTTATTTATATTTTATTTAATTTAATTATATTTTAATTTAATGATCGTGATTTTGTGAGTTATATGTTTGTAGTATTTTGGAATACGTTTGAGTAGTATACGTTGAGTATTTTCATGCATTTTCGTGAAATTTTTCTAATTTATGAGAAAAAAGCAGTGTACATGGATATAGTGAAGAGTGTGCGCAATGCCATTTTTGTGCAATTCTGGGATGTTTTTTTAAGTAAAAATAAGTCGACGTGTACATGGTTTAGTGATATTTTAATTAAATGATAGTTATTTTGTGAATTTTATGTTTGTAGGAATTTGGTATACGTTTCAGTTGAAGTAAACGTGCATGGAAATATTTAAAATATTGACACTAAGTATTTGTAATGCTTTGCGGTATGAATTCGTTGGTGACGTTTATAATATAATAGATAATTTAGAGGTAAAAGTTTTTGGATATTTTATTTATTTATACGTGGAAATGTTCATATTTGGAAAGGGTATATACTTTTTCGCGATCAGGTAATTTCATATATGTTCTTTTTACCGGGTTTTAAAGATTCAGAAAATTGTTCATGCATTTTCGTGAAATTTTTCTAATTTATGAGAAAAAAGCAGTGTACATGGATATAGTGAAGAGTGTGCGCAATGCCATTTTTGTGCAATTCTGGGATGTTTTTTTAAGTAAAAATAAGTCGACGTGTACATGGTTTATGTGTATGTGTTATTTTGAAAAAACGCGTAAGGAGTTTGCGTATTGTGCACTTTTTCCCAATTTTGCAGTGAATATTTGTCATGATTAAGCAGTTTTGTTAGATAAAATTTCTAGCATAAGTGTAATTCGGCTAGTAGATAGATTGTTGGAAGAAGTGTTTCAGTAATAAAAAGAAAAGAAACATGTCTTTACTTCGTGAAGACAAAATGGCGGCGGGAAAAAAAAAGAGGGTTGCTGTAGGAGAGTTGGTCGCCAAAAAAACGCCAAGTTACCATAATGTAAAGATCAACCCTAAAGCTGTTCTGCTGATTTCTTGAAGCACTAAAGGAGAATGCGGTAAAATCCTAGTATACAGTGCAGCCTTGGCGCGACTTTGAAAATTATCGCCAACACCAGAAATGATCCAAAGGACGTCTATATATATATATATATATACTATACATTATATACTATGTGTGTATATAATACATAGTATATACTATGTTGGTAAAATCCTAGTATACGGTGCAGCCTTGGCATGATTTTGAAAATTATCGCCAACACCAAAAATGATCCAAAGAACGTCGCGATTTTGAAAATTATCGCCAACACCAAAAATGATCCAAAGAACGTCTATATACTATACACTATATACCATGTGTGTACATACATAATATATATAACTATATATATTCTTTGAATGACCTGTTTACTACTCATCGTACATGTCCCATTTTTACTGCTCATCATAAAGTCGCCAAAAGTAGCCAAATCCCGTGTGCACCGGATACTAGTATTAAACCGAGAATGCTTTCAATGTGAAAGAAATGTAAAGCAGTTTTTCTCTTGTAGGCAGACATTTTTATATTAATTTATAAGTATGCACAAAAGCTTACTCCCTCCATACTTAAGAAGCATAAATTTACATTAAAAGCAACGCGTGAACAAGATTCATAAATAACTGATGATATGTTTCATAAATGCAGACAAAACAAAATTTAAAAAGTAAACAAGATGCATGGTACCGGCATCATAACAATACAAAATGGCGGCAAGTTGACACAGAAAACCACGGAAAATCACATTTTGAAAGCATAAATAATCATACTTACAAACTAATGGAACGATTTAGAGTAGCATTTAGTGACGAACTGTTGCCGGTCATGTATTTTCCTGTGTATGGGGTGCTTTGATTTGATTTTGGCCACCCAGAACTCGATCGACTCGAATGAGACGCCATAATGAAAATTCAGTTATAGTTACAGTTGCAGGTTCAAAATAAGTTGAGAGAAATGCTCAACATACTTTTTCGCACGAACGAGCTACAATTCTGCAAATCGGAACCCGGAAGTGTGTTGTACGTCATCACCGGAAGTGTACCTACGTCATCGTTACATTATCTTTGCTGACCAATGGCATACGAGCAGGGTTAACATAGTTCTAACAGTGGTTGCCCTACTCTTTGATTTATCACTGCTTGGCAATTACAATAGGTAAATAATATCGTAAACAAGCACAGTAGTTATCGGTAAAAGTAGGCGCTCAATCCCGAAACGAATTCTATTGTTTGCTGGAAGAGTCCAAGATTTGTAGGTATGGTACGTGAAAGTAGGGATGAGCTAAGAGGAGAAAGGAAAAGGGATTTTGAGTATAGGGAATTTCAGTCATTCCGGGATTAAGCGCTTGCTATGAACGGGCTCCTGCTTTGTGAGGGTAGCTAGCGTTTCGTTAGTAAGTGTATTATTTATTATTCTTATTGTCTGCCTTTTTTTTTTTTTACAGTTACAATTTTCTACAATAGCTTAAGTAAATAAAAATTTCACAGTTACGTATTGTAACTGCATGTAATACTCTCTTACTTTACCGTAATAAGAGTTCTAATAAATATTAAATTTCATTGTTGCAATAAACAAAAAATTATGTAATTTCGCCAAAACATTATGCCTTTAAGCAAATTTTAAATAAGCATACAATTTTACATTGCAAACACGTATTTCTCTACGAAATATTTTTTTTTGTTTCATAAATTGATAAAAATTAATCTTTCCTTAAACAAAATGTTCAACAAAACATGGTGCATAAAAAAGAAGGGAAACTCCTTCCACGGTTCGGGAATAAGTCAGCGAGCATATCCATTTTTTTTCCCTAGTACCCACTGAAAGCCATTCCACGATCTAATTATTTCCGTTGGAAACCATTCTGGAACCTTTCCTTTGTATTCCTCTCACCTGCGTATATTGAACTCGCCCAGCTGACAATAGCAGGCGTTCCGAGATTGACGGTCTAGTATCGGTAAAAATTTGATGTAGGAAAACTATACATCTTCAGTGTTTTTTAGGCAGAACATTTTTAAATTCACAGATATTGTTCTTAGTTTGTAAACATTCCCTATTACATATTATTCACAATGTTTGACAGAAAATTTACATATGATATTACTCTGTGACTTATATTGAATTAAATTATTATAATTTGAATACTGTTGTTATTGTATTGCTACGCATCTACTTGCACTCTAAGTGAAATAAATAACAGTAAGAAAAAGTAATTAAACGGCATCGAAAAACATTTTGGGTCACAGTACATTTCATATTTTGGTTATTAGCAAAATAATTATTTCTCATTAACTGATGTAGTGAATGAAAAGGAATAGAAAATCGAGGTAATTCTTAACAATATTTATATACCACATGTACGAACTGCTGGGACAATAATATTTGACTTTTATTTCTATGGGTTAAAACTCTACAAGAAATTAAGAAATATTACTTAATTTTTCATAAAAAACGGGAACAGCTTTAGTATTGGTCCTTTTGGCGATTTTTTTATTTGGCGACAAACTTCGATCGCCAAGGTAGACCCGGTTTTGAAGATCGGAAAAAAATGGCGGATTGTCAACAAAACCCGATCTAGATTAAATAACAATCCTAAAAAATAAGCTCTTAATCAGAATAAACAGTCTTTCTCTAATTTTCAATATTTCTAGTACTGCTATGATAAATTCTTGAAACACTACTGTAAATGAATTTATGACAATTATTATGTTATGAGTAATGAAATTTACAAAATGTTAATATTTTTAATTACAAAATATAATGTATTAAACATTAATATTTTAAGTAGTTAGTTCATATTTATGTTTTATTATATTAGTACTTAGCTAATATTTTAAATTTACAAAAAGGTTAATTTTTATGTTTATGAATAATGAAATTTACAAAAGGTTAATAATGCATTTCAAACTAGTATATGTTACTTCAGTTTCTTAGATTCTGTTATTAAAAGAAAAAAAATATTTCAAAGTGAAGGAAATCAAATTCAATTATAATGGGCAAGTTTTGTACCAGTGTTAGAAATATTTTTTATGATTAAATATTGTAAATGGTAAAAATATTACGAAATGTGTATTTTTTAATCCCTTAATTTATTACAAGTAATTTATGATCATAATTTAAAAGCTAAAATTAAATTATCATAATGAGTAAATTTTGTACCAATGGTAATAATACAACAATCATCGTAAATGATGATTTCTGTGAAAAATTCGAACAGTCATTGGAATCCACTAGTGGTGGAATGATAGCCACCGAACAGTGGTAGTTCAGGCTGGCTATATGAGAGTTTTAGTAGTTTTCCGTAGATGTAATGTGAATCTGAGCCAGTTTCTCTTAAAAAGTATTTTATGAAGGCATCCTTCTTCTGCTAGGCAGCATATGTATTTATTTTCTATTCATAATTCTCTCTTATTTTCTTATTTCTTAATTCTAAATCTTACTTCTGAAGAGAAGAAGTGTTGCATCTATAGGTCAAAAAATATGGTCAATATGTTTGCAAAATCCTGTCAGTTTTGGAAATCATTTAAATAAACTAAATAATTTGTATGTGATGCAAACAAAAATGCATTACACTATTTCATGTACTGAATAATTAATCAGGGAACAAAGTATATTGTAATGATCCTTTATTTTGTAACCAGAGTTATTTTATTCTTGGGATCTTTACTGTCAATTTCCTCCATCCGTTTTCTCACCAGAATCCAAATGAAGCTTTTATTTTGTAAAACAAACCGTGTTTTGCCTTTTGAGGCCACATTAATAGGTTGCTAGATAAGAAAAAGATTTGTAGTCTTCAGCCTTGCATTATAATTGCTGATAGTTGAATTCCATGCCAGTTAAGTTTTTTAACCGACCGACTTTGCATTAAATTGATTTGTGCAGCCTTTGGGCTACAAATTTATTTGAATTTAAATTTTACATTTGAACTTAATTGTTATCATAAGTTATCTTGCCACAAGTGGTTGACCGAGTCGTAAGTACAAAGTGTGCCTTCTGTTCTGTACATCTAAACTTTATAATAGAATAAAAGTATATCTTAACTTAATAAGAATATATCTAAACTTTATGATAATAACATTTAAAGACATTGAAATCAGTATCTAAGTGCTTGCCATGTAGTCAAATTTTTATATATAAATTGTTTCTCTTACTTTTATTATAGAGTTTTTATTACAAAAAAATTCAGATTTCTGTTAGATAAAATGTTTGAGTAATGTAGAAAAATTTGCATAAAATTTAAAAAAAAGTCGACTGTTATGTCAACATACTATTAATGAAAGTAAATAATACTCAGTGAAGGTTATTCATATACAGCTGTTAGGTTGTAAGATTTACAAAATTTGAGAACTCTAAATTATAAGCAATATATTCCATAATCTAAGCAGCATTATATTTTTATAGTCAGACAAATTATGAAAATGTTATAAAAGCAATAATGAAACCTGATTTGAACCTATGAATTCATGCTCCTTAGCAAAGGAAACACCAAGAGTTTACCTCATGCTACTGAAAATGTGTTTTTTTTTTTCCCTTGAGGAGGGGGGTGGCGTTTATAATAATATGCAGAGTTGACATATGAAAAAATGTCAAGACTCATGTGATGTAATATTAAAAGCACCAGTTTTAACTATAAAAAATTTGGCTTTTTAAAAGATATTTTAAATGTTGTGCTTTCCTAACACAAAAGTAACTTTAAGAAAAACACACAATTTATCCCTCCTGCCATCAAAGCTCTGATACCTATCAAATTCGTTAGAGTTACGTGGACAGAAATGGCGTCATGTTTGAAGCTCAGTATTTAGGGTTACCAAGGTTATCATAATTTTTCATTTATCGCTCCAAAATGTCGCCAAACAAATTTCTCGCCAAAAAGGACTAATACTAAAGCTGTGCCCAAAATACAAATAATTATTAATAGAAAAAAAAGTAAATAGCTCAAGTAATGCGAGAAAAATGGCGCAAAAAATACACACCTCACTCCCGCTAATATTAACACGTGAACCAAATTCGCGCCAATTCTTCAGCTTGTGGAAAAATTTACGGAAAAAAAAAAATAACGCCAAATGCTCGCCAAGCTTTGTTGCCAACAGAGATATCAAAGGTACATATCCGGTGATGACGTAGAACACACTTCCGGGTTCCGATTTGCGGAATTCTGTAAAACTCTTTTTCGGACAGAGTGAATGCCTATTGGCTATTGCGATGGCCAATAGATGGCCATTGCAATATAGTATATGCAATCAAATTCCTCTGCTAGATCAAATAGACCTGATATCAGAATTTTTTTTTGTTGTGTTTCCTGTTGTCGCCAAAACGGAAAAAAAGATGGCAGATTTTAATAGTCTTCGAATTTATACATGGTAGCAGTGTTTGCAATTGCATAAAGAGAGAAAGGTAGTTTAGGCTCCGAAATGTTTGATAATATGCAGTATTAATGCAGGAAAAATGGAGAAAGTGAGACAGATGAAGCCTTCAAACAAATTCGGACTCGCAAACGCCGCCCATGTTTAATGGTATAGTTATTAATGAAAATGAAAAAATG